TCTTGCTAACTTAAAATCTGTATCTTTAAACTTGTACGTCTATTTACCATGGTAATGCATTGAATTTTCAAAAAAATATATCGTGGACTAAATTTATTGTTAATCTTAGTTTTATTATTAGTTTATGAGTTTTGTTTCAGTGTCTGGAACACATCCTGTACAAATATGAACTATTAACATAAACCAAAACCACCTACTTTTGCCATAGTGACTGATTGAGAAAGCTGGAAAATAAAGGGCTGTGGCTCCCTGGTACAGAGAGAAATATTTCCTAGTCTTTAGTAAGAACAGTATGTTGCCTAATAGATTCAGTGTCAAAATGTTGGGAATGTCTTTCCTAAATGACTGGTAGTACCGGATACTAATTCTCTGCAGCAAGGAGAATACACTCTTTGGTCAGCAATAAAAGCTAGCACTATCATTCAGGTTTTAAGGAGCAGATTTAAGAATGGTGTCCGTTTTTAGTGGGTTATTTCCTTTTGACTTTTGTCGAGGCCTGTTTGAGAAGTTGAGTTCAAATAAATGAACTAGTGCTTTAGCTTAATTAGCTAAAAAGTTATCTCAAGTTTGTTGGATAGTTGTTTTTTTATAATTAATCAAAATATATTTTGAATTTGAAATTGACCTATTAGAAATAACAGATAATACCTCCTTAAGTTGCATTCTGTGTTCAGGTAATGATGATCTTTGACTATTAGATGATTTTTATCATTCTCTTAATCATGGTTTGAAAGAAATTTATTCAGACTCTCATGCCTAGACACTTTCACTTTGGGGTGCACTAATAATATGAATAAAGGGAGATAAACATGTTTATGCAGTACAACCAGAATAAGCTTCTCTGTCAATAACTGACTTAACTCTCAAAGAACCTGAGTCTAACAATTTAGCTTTCAATTTTCATCAGTTTTACTTGGTGATTTCTGCAGGAAATATACTACTTATTTATTGTATTTTTTTAGTGGGTAGTGCCAGATTTAATCCTTACTAGTTTTCATGATTCCAAATTAAATTTAAGATTTTATTCCTAAAGAAAAGTGTAATTAATGATTAAAATTTTAAAAATAAAGCAAATCTTACTGGTCTTGATATCAATAAGCAATCAGTGCAAAAGTATGTTTGTACATTTAAAAAGATTAAGAGGACACATTTGAATAAAATAGCCTCCTAAAATATAGCTCATAGCCAGTTATCTTCCCGATAGAATATATAAGCCATCGAAGGTTGAAATTCAGTGACACGGTGTGCAGCTGTGTGGTTGTCACTCTGAGATTCAGGGTTAAAGCCTAAGGAGGGGGAGTCTTTGATAGATACCAATACTTGGACCATTTCTTTTTGCAATGTAGCTGCAAAAGTGTAGGTAAATGCTTGATCTAGAATTCACAGGAGGAACAGGGAAGTGTGACACAGAGATGGCTGGACAGGAATGGACGCAGAGATAATGAAAGTTGGAATGACTTTCCTTATTATTATTATTATTATTACAAAAAAAAGCACACAAAAAAAGCAGAAGAATCATTTATTATGAAAGTTGATATTAATGAAAGCTAGATTTTTAATTTTGCAGCCCAGAACTTAAAAGCAGTAACACTATAAGTTTAATGGCTATTAGTAGTATTGTGTTTAAGGACCAGTAAGTTAGCCTCTTGTTGGTGCCAGAAGCTATATGTAACTTTTAGGAGGTTTGGCTGCTTAATACTCTCAAGACTATTTATGTTACAAAAGTAATATTTGAGAAAACTTACAAAAATAATCAGTTAATGTAGTTATTACTCTGTTCTTATGTGAAAAAAGCTACTCATAGTGTGAAAGAATTTTCCTAATTTTTACATTATTTAGAAACTTTAGCTCTGACTTTTATTGTTTTCTACTACTGGTTCTCACTATTAAAAAAAATCACCTAGCCAAACAGACAGAAGTCTCCTAGATTTCTTTTCCACTTTTTAAAATAGAGGGTGGAAATGGGAGAACAGTATCTAGTCACTTATATACAGATTATAATGTGATATAAACATTAAACCATTGCCTGTCTCCTTCCACCCCCCACAGTCAAAATACTAATTTGAGTTAGATTACTTACCACTAAACTGAGTTGAGGTGCTTACATCAATAAATTTAAACTAGTTGTTTTGTAGAAAGAGAGTAAATTGTATTTGCTTTTTGTTTTCTTTTGCAGGACATGCATCATTTTGAGGAAGAATTGACATGTTCCATTTGCTATAGTATATTTGAAGACCCGCGTGTTCTGCCTTGTTCCCATACGTTTTGCAGAAATTGTCTGGAAGGGGTTATTCAGCTCTCGAGCAACTTCTCCATTTGGAGACCGCTGAGAGTCCCACTGAAGTGTCCGAACTGCAGGAGCATCGTGGAAATTCCTGCAACTGGTACCGAGTCGTTGCCCATCAACTTTGCATTAAAAGCTATTATTGAAAAATACCGGCAGGAGGATCAGCCTGAAGTTGCGACCTGTAGTGAACATTATAGACAACCGCTGAACGTTTACTGTCTTTTGGATAGAAAATTAGTGTGTGGCCACTGTCTTACAATAGGAAAACACAATGGCCATCCCATAGATGACCTTCAAAGTGCCTATGTAAAAGAAAAACAAAGTTCTGGAAAAATTCTCGAGCAGCTAACAGATAAACACTGGTCTGATGTATGTTTGCTGATTGAAAAGTTGAAAGATCAGAAATCCCAGTGTGAAAACGTTATTCAAGATGATAAAAAAGCGGTATTACAGTATTTTAAGAAACTTAATGATATTTTGGAGCATAAAAAACAAGCACTGCTGACTGCGCTAGAGGAAATTAATAAGCACATCTTGGAAGAGTATGAGCCTCTAATTGAAAAGTTGAAACAAATAAGGGAAGAACAGCTTGAATTAATGTCACTGAATACATCTATTCAAAAAGAAGAGTCGCCGCTTGTTTTTCTGGAAAAGGTTGACAACTTGCAGCAACGTATAAAAGCTCTGAAACAAAAGGAGCTGCCGGACGTTAAACCTGTTGAGATCTATCCAAGGGTAGGGAACCTGCTGAAGGATGTGTGGTTTAAAACTGAAATCGGACAGATCAACAAGATCCTTACTCCAAAAATAAAACTGATTCCAAAAAGGAAGTTATGCTGCAAAAGCAGTAAAAAGGAAACAGGAAAATCTAAAGAATTATTTCAGGCTATAAATCCTCTAACGGTCATGCTACTTTTTATAATAATAGCGATAACTTTGTTTTCACTACACAAACCAGTAT